GGATGAAGCGGAGTCCAGCCCGGGGTCATCACATGTGGTTGCCGCAAGCCAGCCAGTATAAGTCATTATAATCCGTAATTATGTCCCCACTGGATGCAACAAATGCCTCGTTTATAATGGGTCAAACATTATAAAAATGTTTTTGTCTCGTCGCTCCTGCCAGGATACACAAAATAATGTTCTTTTTAGCAACATCATATGACCCCTTTAAATAAATATGTTACAGATATCAACTTTCCAAAAGTATTGCATGCCAACAATGAATTACTTGAATAAATAATCAAACAAACAAACAAAGAAAAGAAAGCTAAACTACACATTAAAATGCAAGCGGTAATGATGGCGAGTATTCATAATACTCGTAACATTTAATCTTTCAATTTGAAACATTCAGCTTTTTGGTCCAGAACATTGTGATAATGAATCGGGATGAAATAAATGTGGCTGGTGGTTTTCCAACTGGAACCCAAAAGGCTGTAAGAATTGATACTGTTAATCAACCAAATGTAAAATGAGGGCATTCATCTGTTATGTAAGGGATGGCACATGGACAGCCTTCCAGGACTGGAGCTAATTGCAGCACTTCCAAGAATCCAGGGGCATAAAACCAGTGGCGGGGATTGGCTCTCAGTTTTATTGCAATATGAAACTGTAATGACCTATAAAGAACTACATGATATGCAAATTAGCTTTAGGAGAACTTCTGCAAATCAGATGCCGAATCACTCCAACAGACTATTACTGAAATAAGCAATTAAAAGGGGATTAATAAAGACAATACGAACCTGAAAAGCTCCCGAGCTTTGGAGCTGCCATATCTCCACCATCATAGATTTCTAACGAGTCCCAGTTATGCTCGGTGGCAAAGCTCATGACTTGGATCTGCCAAGAAAATGGAGATACACATTATGAAATGACAAAATTCTGCACAATTAAAATTAACTCATGTAATGGCCACAGTTTTGCAGTATTGCTTATAAACGTGGCCAAGGTTGCTTTAATCAAAAACAGCCATTTTGTTTTATGCAACAATTCTTCACCCCCTATCTGAACCTAACCTTCGTGCTACTGTACCTTAAACACATCAATATGTAAATTACTTTATAGGTGGATAGGTGTTGATATTTAAATGTTGTCAATGTCTGCTCATGGATATGCTAATGTCATTACTATTTCTGAATTAAAAAAAAAAAATGTATTGATTGATTAGTATTGATAGTCTGCTTGAACTGTGGAGATTGTTTGGAGAAAAAAAATGTCAATATTTCTATAGTACCAGTAGTTCAGAGCACCACTTGAAACGCTGAAATGGCAGTTTCTATGACTGTACGAAGCATACAAATATGAGGTATGGGATTGGGTGTCTGTTGTCGAGCATCTAACATTCTGACATTGTATTGTTTCGAACTGCACACGTTTGGTACCACAATGCGGGGTTACCAGTAAAATTGATTTTGATTTGTTTCTTTTAATTTTCTAAATGTTTACTTGGATACCTTATACAAATGTCAGATTACCTAAAAATGTTCAAGCACTGCTCATCGGTGCCTTTTTTTTTTTGTAATTACTTTGCTTTCTTTGCATGTATTTATTTATTTATTTTCATCACACCGTCACATTTTTATTATGTTGGTACAGGCACATATTACTGCATTTTTATTATGTTGCTTCAGGTACATATTGTGGCAATTCAAAATTCAAATGTCTGGGGAGTGTCACTAAAACGTTAATGCTCTATCGTGTTAGAAATACACCCTACACCAAACCCAACCCTAAACCTACATGATAGTATTAACAAATGCATACAAATGTTGTTTTGTCGAACTGTAGTTTCACGGGATTCGTACCAGAGCTAATGTGAGCTACCGAGCAAACTGTGTTAGAAAATCCAAATTGTATGAAGCTGTATATGTGAAACTAATGTTTAAAAGTATCCGTTTTCAAATCCTGCAGCATGATACAATTGTTTTGAAGTGATAACATAATATTCTGCAAGTAATTATGCCAAAATTAGGCTTTCTTAATTGAAACGCTGATCCTGTAAATCATACTTTGTGTGAAAAGGAATAAAAGTTGTCAGAGTTGTACTGCCTCTAGTGTATATTTCCAACTGGAAACTACATATAGGTATGTGTTTTTGCAGAAATGTAGGTAGAGGTACGTATTTCCAAATGAGCCTGGGGAGCAACAATGCATACAATGCCACAATCAATATTTTTCTGATTTATCTTAACTTTCATTTATGGGCGTGCTCTACATTTGGAATCTCTTTTGGATCTTTTACATAAAACAAACAGTAGTTTGAACAGCATAAAGCACATTATACAATGCTAAATTTAACCTGTGTAATTCACTCCCTTGCTGCATGCAAAGGAATCTTTTCCATCTTATCATTTCAGCAGGTGTAGCTTTACTGCATTTGATGAGTTCACACGTGGCTCTTTTGTACTTGCCTGGATACCAGCTCCTTCGGTAACAATGATTTTCCACACACAGTTCAGGCTGTTCCCATAAGGCTCCGGGAACCCGGGGGAGAGGATGGTACCTCTCCTTTCTGTCAGATTCCCACTGCATGGGACTGTGGAGCAAGACAGAGGCAAAATGAGCTCATGCTGAGGATGGAACACCACAAGTGCCTGAACTGAGTCCTGTGAGAAAGGCAGCAGACTCTTTTGACACAAGATGCGATTACGCCCGAGGAAACATGAACCAAAGCTATCATCACCCTGCTAAAACATACATTCTCTGCATGAGAAATGTCTTTCTGGGAACACTTTATATTTCACAAGAAACAATCTTATATCACTGCCTTTGTAAAGCCTTATAGCTGTAGAAGCTGAACAAATTATTCATAAGTCAACATGATCAACAATCAAAGTTTACCTTTTCTTTAATGCATGTTCCTGGCCTTACTTTGAACAATTCATAGGTGCATGTTATTACATACACACACATAGGTTTCCATGTTTTATAAGGGCTTCCCACAGACATAATAACCCTACACTCATAAGAGGGAGCATTTTTTTGAAATTGAGATGTATACATCATCTGAAAGCTGAATAAATAACCTTTCCATTTATGTATGGTTTGTTAGGATAGGACAACATTTGGCCAAGATACAACTATTTGAATATCTGGAATCTGACCATGCAAAACAATCAAAATATTGAGAAAATAGCCTTTAAAGATGTCCAAATGAAGTTCTTAGCAATGCATATTACTAATAAAAAAATAAGTTTTGATATATTTACGGGACGCAATCTTTACTTAATATCCTAATGATTTTTTGCGTAAAAGAAAAATTTATAATTTTGAACCATACAATGTTTTTTTTTTAGCTATTGCTAAAAATATACCCAAGCGACTTAAGACTGATTTTGTGGTCCAGGGTCACATATATCAAAAAAAAAGAAAGAAAGAAACATTTTTATACACAGTCCCCCCATTTTCAGGGGCTTAAATGTAATTGGACAAATAAATATAATCATAAATAAAAAGTTCATTTGACTGAATCTGGGCAGAGAGTATATCCCTATACACTTCAGAATTCTTCCGGCTGCTTCTGTCTTCTGTCACGTCATCAGTAAACACCAGTAACCCAGTGCCACTGGAAGCCACGCATGCTCATGCCATCACACCTCTCCACCATGTTTCACAGATGATGTTGTATGCTTTGGATCATGAGCTGTTCCAAGCCTTCTCCATACTTTTTTCTTCCCGTCATTCTGGTACAGGTTGATCTTAATTTCAGCCGTCCAAAGAATGCTTTTTGCAGAAGTGGTCTGATCAGGTCTAATTTAGACCAGTCTAATCAGGCCTTGTTTGCACCTTGTGGTGAAGCCTCTGTATTTGCTCTTGTGAAGTCTTCTTTTGATTGTAGACTTTGAAGGTGACACACCTACCTCCTGGAGGGTGTTCTTCTCTTGGCTGGATGTTGTGAAAGGGTTTTTCTATCCTAACAAACCAAAGAATCAATGGAAAGCTTATTTATTCAGCTTTCAGATTATGTATAAATCTCAATTAAAAAAAATTGACTCTTATGACTGGTTTTGTGCTCCAGGGTCACATATATATCTATGAGTGGTAGGTTTAGGGGTAGGGTTATTATGTCTGTGGGAAGCCCTTATAAAACATGGAAACCTATGTGTGTGTATGTAATAACATGCACCTATGAATTGTTCAAAGTAAGGCCAGGAACATGCATTAAAAAAGGTAAACTTTGATTGTCGATCATGTTGACTTATGAATAATTTGTTCAGCTTCTACAGCTATAAGGCTTTACAAAAGCAGTGACATAAGATTGTTTCTTGGGAAATATAAAGTGCTCCCAGAAAGACATTTCTCATGCAGAGAATGTATGTTTTAGCGGGGTGATTGTAATATTATTGTTGATTTTATCATTGTATATAAATACAATGATACAAATGGTATCCGGTACTGGTATTACTATCCTGGTGCAGAGATTTGGTCCCCATAATGTAGGGAATACCAGTGCGTGTACACACACACACACACACACACACACACACACACATTCACCCAATCCCCAGCCTGATTTCTGAACCTCACACTTTGAAGAAGTAGAAATATGAGAGGTTGTGTTCAAGGCATTTCACTTCAGAATACTTAAAAATGTAAGGAAGCACAAAATGGGATTTGCTGAAGCTCTGTGAAATCAAAACTGACCTTTTAATTCACATTCCTGGAGTGATTCCTTTTCAGACGACATTAATTCCCATTTTTAACCACTCCTCTCCAAATACCTGACACATTCTGTTATGTGTTTTTCTCAATGAATATCTTGTTTCACTTTGAATGAAATTAATACACCAGATTACACATTATGGAAGCAAAATGGGTAGGGCAAACTATTTCATGTGGCCCGGTATGTCATGCAAATTAATTCCTTTCTATTGATGGGCGTTTAAAAATTCCATTTAATTAAAGCAGATGTTTTTCCAACATCTGATTTTTGTGGAGGTTTCTTAAAAGCATGAAGGAAACATTTTTTTTTTTTTGCAGCTCCAGAGCAATTACTTACATTACATTTTTGGCATTCATCTCCATTCTGGTATTATGGACTGACCTCCTTGTTTAGAGAAAATTGCTTCCAAATGGTGTTTCATGCTGACTTTAATTCATGGAAGAAAGAGTTGAATGAGGAACGACTTTTATGTTGCGATTAAAAAAGCTAAATATATTAATTTCTATGAATATTTAATAGATATCTACCGTTCAGTTTGTAATTCCTATGAAAAACGGGGAACTGCGATTTGAAAGCAGAGTGAAATGAGGACGTGCCTTGGGAATGATAAAATCGTGACAGCACTATAGAATACGGCGACAGCTAAATGCTCAGTATTAAAGCCTGGAGGTTACGGCTTTGAACTGAAGGCTGTGGCCCAGAGGCCCTTGGATTCAGCTTCTCAGCCCCTTGAGGATGGCAGTATAGAAGGAAATATTAACTAGAGGCCTGACATTTTAAATCCTCATAGAGGCCATCCCCATTTCGTCCTCCAGCAGGATTCTTAACCCTTATTAGTTACCTCAAGGTTAGTAGAGACCACGGGAAGCTCGCACATTTACATTCTCTAAGGACTCGAGAAAATGCAGGGCTATAAATCAACATTTGAATGATGGTACCTGTTAGCAAGCATGTAAAAGTCAAATGGAATTTGTACTGTCTGTGTTGCTCTATTTCTAACGCTCAGTCACACTGAATTGTTTAGTCCTGAATAAAACATGACTAGTGTGCATTTTTCTAGGATAAATCCAGGCTAGCTTACCTATACAATTCGGGATGGTGTCATTCCACTGCGCCAGAGCGTTAGGGACTACGTGACACTTGATGGCTTTGGATCCCTGGAGGAGGTATCCAGGGTTGCACTCGAAACGAACAATGGAGCCAGCTGAGAATTCGGACCCAATCCGCCTGCCGTATCTGGGCTCTGGGATGGAGCTGCACTGTGTATCACTGGTGCGTGGAACAGCTAGTGGACAGGAAACAGATCTCTAATCAAAATGGAGGCTTGGAAACACACCGGCTCTGTTTCAAAACCCAGTAAGCTGCCTTTACACTGTTACTAAACAAATCAAACAAATGCTGTTCTTTTGAACTTTCTCGTCAGCAAAGAATCCCGAAAAATATGTAACATGGTTTCCATAAAAACAATGCTAACATTTTACAAGGTTCCATTTTTTAACGTTACTTAATTACGTTTGTTCGTGTGAGCTGAAACAATGAAAAATAATTCTAACTTTCATAGTTAATGTTCATTTCAACATTCATTAATACGTTGTAGCTGTATTTTTGTTAACTAACGTTAACTAAGATTACTACTAACTAATTAATTGAACTGAATCAATTTAAAGAGAGGTAGCACTTTAGTTTAGGCACCAATTCTCACTGTTAACTAGTCACTTATTAGTATGCATATTACTAGCATATTGGCTGTTTATACATACTTATAAAGCACATATTAATGCCTTATTCTGCATAACCATATTTAAGATCCCTTAATCTACCCCATACATAAACTTAACAGCTACATTGCTAACTATTAATAAGCAGCAAATTAGGAGTTTACTGAGGCAAAAGTCATAATTAATAGTTAGGTAATAATGAGAATTGGTCCGCAAACTAAAGCGTGACCAAAAGATACATAAACAAATAATTCACACAACTCACAGAAGTCTCGACTTGAATAATCGAATACCATTTTAGCATTACCATGCTGCTAAAATAATGTCCATTTCTACTTTTGATAACGTAAAAACAAATAGACTTTTTTTTGTGACTGAACTTTTCCATTTTTAATGAATTAAAAGCAAGTTGTCTTTATAATAGCACCAATGTAGCTTTTGAACACATTTGTAGCCATTGTATGGTTTCCAGTGCAATGGTGTACACTGTGACTACTTTAGCACTCTTTTTATAGAAACCCCACATATATATTTATCTAGCACATTTGTATGAGCGTCTTCATGACCCTAGCACAGAGAACTTTGCTGGTTTTGCTGTTTTTGCTTTGCGAACATTGTAGCAACTTGGTTCTTTTTTTTCTCCTGTTTGTGCCTTAACTTTCATCTGACGGCTGTGGATATATAGGAAGAGGCTGGTGGGACCATCCACCATCACCTGGATGCCTCCATGAGCCAAATGAACTGTCCTAACTGTCAGAGAACATTTCTCATACACCCGCTGTTCTCTCTGTGCCCATTGCTGTACACTATAAAACGCCGAGGAGAGATATAAAGAGACATAGCAGGCTTGCTGCGGTCTGCGCTGTGTGTGTGTGTGTGCGTACGCTGATGCAGCCATGAAAGATTCCTGTTGTATCTTTTTATAAGGCAGCTGATAAAGGGAGTTAAAAAGTGTCATTTATACAGTAATTTACGACATATTTTAAAACGAGGGAAAACGCCTTGCATGTCCTGTCCCACGCTGATGCTGTCTGGGGAGTTTGACACGTCAGGGGTCATTTAAAGGAACGGTTCGCCTAAAAATAATTTACTCACTCCAGTGTCACCCCCAAAAATAATACAGCCAATTAATGTTAGTAACTAACATTAACTAACAATGAGTAATACATTTGTAACAGTATTTATTTATCTTAACGTTAACGTTAGTTATTAAAACACAGCTGTTCATTGTTAGTCCAAGTTAGCTCAGGTCCATTAACTAACATTAATAGAAAATATACTTTTCATTTTAATGTATTAGGAACTGTTAAAATCAACATTAACTAAGATTAATAAATGCTTTAGAGATATTTGTCATTGCTAGTTTATGTTAACTAATGTAGTCAACTAATATTAACAAATGGAACATTTAATTGGGTGTAACACTTTAGTTTAAGGCTGTTTATTAGTACTTACGAAGCCTTATTTTTAACACTTTCGTATAGGGACCAATTCTCACTATTAACTAGTTGCTTATTAGCATGCCTATTATTAGCATATTGGCTGTTTATTAGCACTTATAAAGCACATATTCTGCATGACCATATTCTACATCCCTAATCCTACCCAATACCTAAACCTAACAACTACCTTACTAACAATTAAAAAGCAAATTAGGAGTTTATTGAAGTCGTAGTTAATGGTTTGTTAATAGCGAGAATTGGACCTTAAAATAAAGTCTGACCACCTTATTCATATGAAATATTATATAGCTCTGAAATCAAACCAAAGTGGCAAAAAAAAAAATCATAAATAAATAAAAATGGAAGAAAAAAACTGCAAGACAACTCTCAAAATACTCATGAGAATAGCACAGAAATCATTCTCCCATTCGGCTCTACTCAGAGCTAAATGCATTACAAATTATATCAAATTCAACCCCCTTTCTTCATTTGACTCTATTGTGTATTGGTTATGACATTGTGATTGCGGCTGTTAACTTCTCTCTGTGAAATATAAAGTCTATTTCCCAAAGTAAGCGGGCTCAGGCATACTGATCAGCAGGCCGCCCCTGCACTTCAGAGGCGGGATTTCACCCTATACACGGTGCCAATATATACACACCAAAGGCTAACTGAATGTTTCGGATTTGAAGATTAAAAACAAAGCCTCGGATCTGCACAATGACCTGTTATTGACTGAAAGTTGAGTGCTCGCTTACCTTGGTAAACAAAATGGAAACCTTTGGCGGACGGGCCACTTTTTGTGCTGAATCTCAGCATGATTTGGTTTGAGGTGGCCAAGGGCAACGTTTCTCCTGCAAAAACACAATATGGCAGATGTTGAAGTCTCTTACGAATCACTTGTGGAGGCAAATGTGCTGCCTGCAACCAACTGTAGTCTTAAGGTAGCGTACATGACGGATGGCTTAATAACTCGGATCAGCCTCCGGGGCAAGGGTGGAGAGAGCAAGTCAGCAACAATGGGCCTAAAACTGATGGATACCCAAAGAAATACTCAAGCTGTCAGAGATGCAGTGCTCAGAGATGCAGTGGGTAAATTAAAAAATAAATAAATAAAAAACAACCGTAAGGATGGCTTACCCTTGAGCTAACTAAACTTTGAGTGTTCAGATTCAAAATCAAAGTGTATTTTTACAAAGTTGCATCCAAAGGAAGAAACACAGTGTTGATATAGATGGCGACTGAAACACTACAGTTGAGCCTGGAGGGTTAAACACACTAACTATGAATTGAGTGGCCTGTCAGGATTTCTGGCCCACTGCTCACAAAGCTGAGATAGAAATTATATGAATTTACAGCGCTTCCCATGGGAATATAGTGTTGCACAGCAGACCATGAAGATATACAGTATAAAAATGTCATACAAACAGTTTGTGTCCAATGGCCGCCATCAATCCTGCGAAGACTGTGGAATTAGCAGTGATTTCCGTTTTCTTGCCATTTTATTACCTTTCACTCAATAATACCAACAATAATTCAGCAAGAAGCCGCAAGGATAACACTTTCGTTTTAGAAGGAATTAAACAAGCCTAGAACCAAAGGATGAAAATGACAACATAGATCCGAGATTTAAGATTTATTCTTGATATAAATACAGTGGGCCCAACAAGTATTGCACACTTAAACCTTAGTTGAAAATGTATGAATGCTATTGAATAAATAAAAGAAAGAAAAAATTGATTAAAAGTCATTGCTCTATGCCATTGTGTTGTGTAATGCAATGGCATTCAGACTTTTCAGTCAGTATAATTTAATTTACTTCATAGAGCATTTTAGCGAATAAGAATTTAGGCCGTTTTGTTGGAAGAAAAAGACTGCTAACTAGCATATACTGTAAATGCTCCAAAAGCCATATGAGACATGGAACTAATTTCATTTGGTCTTTCAGGGTGATGTACATGTCCAAATATGTATTTGTTTTATGAACATATTATTTGCAAAAGTAGACTTCATTTGCCTGAGGCTGAGTAATATCCTAAATATGTCCTAAATACATTTGAGCACTATAATGTAAATTAAGAAAGAATTTTAATTATTTTACGAATTAATTATTTACACAGACTTGCTCACTGTCTGTGTAAATAACAGAAATTTCAAACAATAAAAAACAAATACAAAACTATTAGCAAATGACACTCCTTCTGTATTTTCCCCTCTGAAAGGAGCCATTAAACCTCACTTGAGACCTCGTTCACTGCTCAATTGTCTTTTCACAGATTTAAAAAGCCATATATGCCTGTTTTGGCTCTTTTCAAAGGGTTCTATGCATTTCAAAGCAAACTCAAAGCAACACAACTGGGGTGAATGTAAAGCTATTACTTACCGGAATGAGACCCAGCCAGGGAGCTTAGCAGCCTAGAATTCTGATTGGGCCCATCAAATAGCTCAACGGAGTCGTTCATGGCTGTCTGGAAATAGGCAAATTGACCAAACACCACTGAGGAAACAAAATTAAATGCACAGAGCGTGTTACTATCACCACTGCTGAGAAGAGATGCTAACAAAAGAAGTACAATGAATGAAGACACATCAATTTCCCATCGACTCACGTGATTCAGGTCGATGGTTTTATAAGTGTTCATAATAAGCAGTCTGCACAGAAGTATGTATAGTCCCATCAAAATAGCAGATGATATTCAATTCATTATAATAGAAACCGTGCCATGAAATTGTGAATAAAATGCACGTACTGTAAACCCATACCGCAGAACATCGTTTTTAATACTGCAGCAGCTCTGTTCTAAAAACAATGACCTATGTAGGAATTAAGTTGCAAATCATGAGCTGGTTCTTTGCTTGTGATTCACAAACAAATGACTGAACTGGATCTTTTTAAATCAGTGTATTTACTGAACTTCTTGTTCAAATTACAACATATAGCTATATATAGCTAAATAATCAAGTAATGTTTAGATCAAAGTACTATAGTGTTACCATCTTTGTACTCTTAATACCTAAAATCATGAAGCTCTGTCTGTAATGCATGCATTATGTGTATGTTTGGTCCCTTCTGGTGTCCATTCCCTCTGACCTGAGACCAGTGATGAAGCTGTGATTAAATGTGTTGGCTCGCCAGAAAGGACACATGGTTCACGCGGTAGGGCATGAGAGACCAGGGAAATCACAGAGGCATGGTGTGTGTGTGTGTGTGTGTGTTGTTTTGGCAGGAAGAGTTTTACATCAGTTTATATCTACAGGCTGAGGACTCACCACCTGAATGAAGTGGATTATTCAAGGTAATTGAGTACTCCAATAACTCTATAAACTGAACCGTGACCTTTGTAAGTAACTTTATTTACTTACCAAATTCTCCAGACACTGTGATGTGGTAGGAGCAGGTCTGGCCTGTCGTGTAGTTGAGAGGGTAATTTGGGGATACTACCACTCCCTCTGATCCAGTGTACTGCCCACCGCATGGTGCTGAAAAGAGAGAAACAACCCTAAAGGTTCATATTTTCTCTTGTTCAGTCCATATGACACAAGGTAATTAAGTCATTTTTAATACTGTATTCGATACATGATGACCAGTGAGGCTAAGGGAGCACTCCAGATTTAAAAAAAGAGGACGAGAAGAGGAAACTACAAGCAAAGCAATTTTTTTCATTATGATGGGTCAGATCTAAAAAAAATTTACTTTTGTTGTGCTTTCAGGAGTCAATTTGTCACATGGCTGAGTGTCACAGACTCTGTTTCATGTCCACATTCTGTGTGCTTAAGGTACGTTCTAATCCCCTGATAGAGCACTTCCAAAGTCAATATTTGGCCAATATAATTTAATTTTAAATCGTAAAAGAATTAAGTGTGCATAAGTGTATCAATCCACAGGAAGTGAACAGTGTGATTCAACAATTGCATACTACAGGTGCATCTCAATAAATTAGAATGTCATGGAAAAGTTCATTTATTTCAGTAATTCAACTCAAATTGTGAAACTCGTATATTAAATAAATTCAGTGCACACAGGCTGAAGTACTAGTAGTTAAGTAAAAGTAGTTAACACAAAATAATGATATTTAAAAAAAGCATCATATGACCCCTTTAACAAAAACCCACCAATTCAACAAATTAGAATACTTCACAAGACCAATAAAAAAATTTTTTTTTAGTGAATTGTTGGCCAGAACCAAAGACTTCAACTACTTCAGTCTGTGTGCATTGAATTTATTTAATACACGAGTTTCACAATTTGAGTTGAATTACTGAAATAAATGAACTTTTCCACGACATTCTAATTTATTGAGATGTACCTGTACTATAATACTACACAAAGTTTGGCTAAAATAAACTATTATGAATCATTTTATGTTAATTTACATATATACTAATATATATATTTACATAAGCACACCTAGATACATTACATATATGAAAGTATGGTCATTTGCATAATATTTATATAAAGTTAGGCTAAAATAAACTAATACAGTAATACTAAAAATAAAAGTCACATTAAATTTCATTTTAAATTTTATATAAACACACACGGATATATATTATATGCATATTATACTGTATTAAAGTATGGTCATTTACATTATGTTTATTTAAATGATCATATCATTATATTTAAAACTGTTAGTGTGCATGACTCAATCGTTTGATGACGTTGTAGGGCATTACAAATTAATGAATTATGCCAAGCAAAATGAGCTTCAACAGAAATTCCCTGCTGAGTGTGTAGGGAGCAAAAATCACGATTGCAAGGAAGACCTTATTTAAAAAGAAGGCACTGTTTGAATAACAGATGAGTGGAGTAATTACCAGAGGAAATTAAAAAAAGAAAGGAAAAGCAGTTTTGACTGACACACTTTGAAACACTGCTGTTTTTAACAATAGATCACTGTACATCAAACATAAATCACATCAAAGACAGAAGTAGCTCTCCCTAATAACAACTCAACAGTAATCACAATTCAGGTCCAGTGGGTGTAGGTATTGTGTGGACTTGTACAAGCTAATGACACCAGATCATTGCATCCTGCAGCAAGCGGTTCGCTTAACTCCTAAACATTTATTAGAGCAAGAAAGTCAATAACAAGATATTGGAAAATACACATACCTTTTTACACAAGCAGGGTTAATTTGATTAGGCTTAACATTGATTGCACAAACCAGCTTTATGGTATAGCGCTACTAGAATAGCCTACAATTAACACATCATGCAAACCTCGTAGAAAGGCTATTGGAATTGCTATAGCCTCTGACAGGCATTTTAGTAAAACTGATTCGTAATTCAGGTCTGAGCGCAAAGAGGGAGTATTGAGGAGGAGCAGCCAATGAAGACTATAAATCATCTGTGTGTTGGTGCATTGGCGTGTGTTATCTCTTTATCAGGCCCATAATGGGTAGAGGCTAAATGCTTAGGTGTTTGACTGTGCATGACAAGAAATAAAAAAAAAAAACAAGCGAAAATCAAACACAAAGGTCACCAAGAGGATTATTGACAGTGCCAAGTGTAAAAATTGGAGGCTAAGAAGGTCAGCGAAGAGTATTTTCGGAGAAATTAATCAATGTCAGTGCTTCTGTCACACCTGGCCCATAGTGTATGACCTTGTAACCAATGGACCACCTGTGATAAGCAGTGTTGGGGAACTCCACTTTTAGAAGTTATTATAAGAAATCAGACAATAATTTGGCATTTAGAGATAACAGTGCCTGCTTGGCCGATTAACAGAAGTGCTACCCACCCCCATATCAGTTCCAACATCTCAGCAAAAGTTATTTATTTTTCAGACAAAATGTGTGCAAAGTGTTTATAAGTGTATAAATGTTACGCATGTCATTTTATCATTCATTTATATGTACATTATCTCAGTGTAACACATCCTGCTCTCTAAACGTTGGCCATCAAGAAACCAATATCAGTCAACTAATAATAATTGCATAACTTAAAATAGCCATTCATTACCAGGCCTATGTGAAATCTGCAGATGCACTGCACTGACTTGAGGAAAATCTATGCAATTCTGTAGTGGAGATTTAAATATGATAAAATGTGTTAAATTGAATTGAGATTGCTAACCTCTCATTGTCAGCTAAAATCATAATAATTAGACAAAATATGTAATAAAGGAGTACGCAAGAAGCCATGGATTTGTAGAGCTAGAGGGCACAGAACCCATGCAATCCTGCTCACTTTATTACATTGTTATTCTAAGTCATCTTATTTTTAACGTAAGAGTGATTATTACCCATTATTACCTTAAAGGTACAAGACTTGGGGCCAGATTTACTAAACAAGGCAAATTAGCACAAGAGTGCAATTCCAAGAAATTGTCAAGCGCAAAATGGGTGAAGACATGCTTTTTTTGGTGGTAAATAACGGCGCAGATACCAGTAAATTGACTACCACAAACCTTTGTGATCATGATGTGTGATTCATTTAAATATTCTCCTCCCATAAATGTTGCGTCTGAAAGGGAAAGACCTACAAATGCTTATGCAATAAGGTCAGCCTTAAGGTCAGCCAAAATGACTGTCTACGCCTTTTCATCGCTCATTTTTCACTGCGTATTTTTAGTAAATCCTGACAGTAGTATTTTAACACCAAAAGAGGGTTTGCATTGGTACGAGCTGTTAGTAAATCTGGCCCTTGGTGTCAAATGTTTCCAGTTATTTTAGCTGTACAAAAACAGTCTGTTATGATACTGGATATTGCTAACTGGTATGTGTTATTATATTATTTTAACTTATTGTCATAACCGTAAGCACACAAGTAGCACAAATAGTTATATAGTTTATTGCACTTTGTTATTCTTCTAGTTATTTACCTATAGCATCTAATAAATGAAAACTCTCACACATTCACAGGAAATAGCTTATCGTTGGCTGAAAAATAAGGTGGAAAAAAAAAACGGATACTTTCATGGCACATTGAAATCAACATGAAATTTAGAGTGCGATCATCCTTTCTTCCTTATAATGCTATATATCCGAGTTAAATGGCTTCTCGAACGAGAAGGAAAAAAACACACTTCCACATTTTAATATGTAGCCTGTATATCTCAGGCTAGTTACACCATCTAGATACATTTGACTTTTAAGATAAAAAAGGGCAACAATTAAAATAACAAAAAATAAAAATAAAAATTAATTTTGGTCACACTAGTTTGGTCAAACTTTCTAATTCAGAAAGTCCTCACTAAAATGAAATCTGATTACATAAAATGTTATTTGTAAAACACCCTTCCCGAGAGCCACTAACTGTGACGAACAGCGAAAGAGCGTGAGGTTAGAACTAAACAAGTTCTCTGTGTACCTAATCCCTGGCATAACTCAGCTCGTATTTGCCTTTATCTCCATGCCAACATGTAACCTGGCCTTCCAAAATCGCAGTCCACGCCACCTGTGATCTCTCTGCTCCGGCTGTGTTCCTTTCATCCCTCAGGTCTCAGTAACAATGATCTTCAATTGAGATTCCTCGCACATCAGTCCCATGCTAAAGCCTCTGGGCTCTGGCACCCATAGGTCTGTTGCTTCATCTGCCTCACAATGCTTCTGTTAGCTCATGAAAAGCTGGTGTCAGAATGCAGCTGAGGCTCCCCGTTTTCTGCATATCAAACTCGCTCCTGTAGCTTTGATCACATCACCTTCCTTTCACACTCACCATGAGAAGACTGTCTGGAGCTACACACACACACACAGAGTTGTGTGTGTTTGTGTGCAAGTGGGCATACACAAATATACACACACACACACACTGTGCCTTTTGTTGGAAGATTTGCCTTTAGAAACCTGCAATTTCACACTGAGATGGAAGGAAATTTCAGGTTTTTGGAAATATACATTTTTCAGGCCTGACTGTCTGTGGTTTCATTCTTTCTTTCTTTTGTGTGTGTGCGTGCGACAGGCTGTGAATAATTGGAAGTTTTAGAAATCCCTTTTGCCCCCTTTGCACCTGCAAATAGCACATTTAGTAGGCCGTAGTAGACTACGTAATTAGGTACAGGGATACAATCTCTATCATACATGACAACCACCATTGAGGTGACAGTAGATAGAGACTTAGTAGTCATAAGTCTCTCTATAAAATACATAAGGTCATGCTTCAGTTTGGCAATCACTTCTCACTATTGACTAACTATTAAGTAGGATTTTTGCCTCAATAAACTCCTAATTTGCTGCTTATTAATAGTTAGTGAGGAAGTTGTTAAGTTTAGGTGTGGGGTAGGATTAAGGGATCTAAAATATGGTCATGCAGAATAAGGCATTAACATGTCCTTTTTAAGTACTAATAAACAGCCAATATGCAGTAATTCACATGCTAATAAGCGACTAGTTAATTGTGAGCTAAAACTAAAAACTAAAGTTTAACAAAAGCTAAAAATTTCATAGTAAATCCTGAAATTTTTGACATTGTGGGGACCGGTCTGGGTCGAAAAAAAATATTTAAAATAGTAAATGATATTTATCTGAAAGTG